CGCGCTCCCACCCCCTCCCTTGTGTCAGCGGCAGCAGTTGTGCGACTGCTTGTCCTGAGACACAGCTATTCACAACCGGGCAGCCAAATAAACTCTGGCAGATTCAAAGCGTGCCGATGGCATGCACATTGCTCCATACGAACTGTTCCTGTTGTTTCAGCTGGCTGTTCCTGCAAGGTCCTGAGTGCTCAGCACCTTGAAGGATGGGGAATATAAACTTCATTTTATCCCCCAGAAAATATGTTAGTGATAGGGACCTCGAAACTAACAGGACTCTTCTCCTTGGGACCCTGTGCTCCCCCGGGGTTGTAAGGAAGGCTCTTCACGGAAGAGCAGCGCTGGTGTTGGTACCTGCTGCACAAAGGCCTAATGGGCTGCTAAAATTGTACGGGGAATATGGAAATTAAAACCTGATATGCTGCTTCCATAACTAAACAAATGTAACATTGAACTTGTGACTTTCAATATTAATTAACGTACTCAAACAACAGTCTTTGCCGTAGACGCTACTCTAAGTGAATGCCTCATGAGTTGGCCTGTGTTATCACGCTGGGGTCAATTTAAATGTCAAGCTGCAGCCCTTCCCTCTTGCTTCTTTTCTTCCTCTGAACTTTTTTGGGAGATAGGCTCTGAACCCTATTCTGTGCGCTGATTGCCTGCCCAGCGCAAGCCACGTTTGTGTGGGCAATCCCAACCTGAGTAATGGCTTACTGCTTAGCTGTGATAGTTTTTTGAGACTTTCGTGCCTATCAAGTGATCCTATGTGTCATTCCTGTATTAAGTTCCTAAATGCAATAATTATTTTTGTAAGAATTTATGCTTACAATGCATCAAAGATAAACTTACAAGCAAGAGAAAGCATACAAGAAAGTCTAAGCAAACAAGGAGACACAGTAAAAAGTCTCAGAAGAGGGAGGAAGAAATGATGACTGGGGATGATGCAGCCTCCCTATAATCGCAACTCAGGTCTCTGCTCTACTGACTATTTAATGCTCCAGTGCAATTTAGACAGCCGGGCAACTCTGTAATGAGAGTAATTTATGTTCCTCTGCCTTGTCTAAGCACTTTTCTTTCCTTGAGTAAGAATTTATCTCTGTAATTGGCGTCCAGGTCTTTTCCCATGTGGCGTCACGCCTTCCAGCAGTTTATTCGGGAAATCTTACGGGCATGATCCACCACTCTATAGAAAATACAGAGCTTTTGTCTGTGTTCTGTGCAACTTGGTGATAGGTCTCATCTCACTCTTCCTTTACTGGAACAGGAAGATTAGCATATTAGTACTGGCAGAGCTAACATTTTGCAATGAGCTCTTCTCTGTTTCTCTGTGCACTGGGAGGGAACGTAGTTTTTGCTGGTGAAAAAGTTGCCTTTGCATTGAAGGGCCGCAGTGCTGTTACCGTGTCCAGAAGAAGCAAGAGAAGTTTATATGCTCACCTCTTCATGAAAACACAGGTGTTTGGGTTTCACCCTTGTGACTTTTGGGAAAATTCAGGCTGTTTACTAATAACTTGTAATGGCCTTACCTGGAATTTTGCAAGCAAGGCTCGAGACCTTAGCTCATATTTGCTGCTGAAGAGGAGAGATTTTGCAGCAGCTTCTCATCACCAGATGCGAGATAAATCTCTCAGTAGAGACATGGGTTTTGGAAGATGTATCATGTAATTTTATTACGTTCCATTATATTTTCTGTTTTGAACTGTAGTATGCAACAGTTAAAAGAAAAACCTCTAGCTATTGGTTTTCAAGTCAGATACATTGCAAAGTTTTGTTCCAGGAGGATGCTGGCAGCGGGAGGAGGAAATCCTGCTTACTGAAGGAGGATGGCCTCAGACTGCCTTAGGCGGGGGGAGAGCTTCAAGCTATGTTTTGTCATCGGACTCCTATCCTAATGAAGATGATTACCCTGTAATTAGGCTGTGTGCCTTCTCTTTCTGAACCTATTTGGAGTATGATGCATGGCACCTTTGGTCACGTTCCTCCCTATGGTGCAGGTAGAGATCTCTGCTCTTGCAGTTTTGTGCCTCTGACAATTCAGTTGGTGAGAGATGTCTGGAGTTAGGGTGCTTTCCTAGAGCTTGATATTTTGCACAGGGAAAAAGGTTTTAATTCAGAAGATCATCTGTGTCCTTCTGTCCTACCTTAAAGTTTGTTTTGTTTTTTTTACCTCGACAAAGATTTTAAACGAATGCCCTGAGATTTATGAGACAGACCCTTTGCCGCACGGAAACACTGTGGCCAGGGTCCTTCTTATTCCCCCTTAGTTTCATGCTTCCCTAGAACTCCATCTGGTTTTATTTTAGTAAATAGTTTCCTCTTTAAAAAATTTCCCTGAGAATATGACTTGAAACATAAGTCTCAAGTCTGTAATAATCTGCTTGTTTTCCTAACCATTTTCTTACTGGAACTGAGGCCAGTCATGTGTGTAGTACGAAGACAAGAACTCTGATGCTGTGCGTGCATA